TTCCATCTGCTGGTTCACTCTCCAGGTGGTCGTGATGGGCAGGGCTGGTCCTAGGCCAAAGCTAGGAGCCAGGAGTAGTTCTGGGTCTCCTACGTGGGTAGCAGGGGCCCAGGCACGTGGGCCATTGTCTGCTTCCTTCCAAGGCCATTAACCGGGAGCTGGATCAGCAGTGGAGCAGTTGAGACAGGAACCAGCGCCATGTGGGATGCTGGAGTCACAGGTGGCGGCTTTACTCCCTGTCCCGCCGCCGGCACCGATGCTTTGTTGAGCACTCATCACTGTGTATGGTACGTGGTCTGTTATTTAGGATGTTGCTATACTACACTTTATAAGGAGTTTGATGAGTAAAGAATATTGGTCTGATTTTTGGCATTTGGTCGTATTTTGAGTCTTTAGTTAGGGAATGAGACAGGAATGCTGCAGCTTGTCGCCCAGTGCCCAGTTCCTGTCTATTGTCGCTGCCCTGCCTTCCTCTGAGACCCTGGCTCCTGGCCAGGCTCTCCTCCATGCAGCTGGACTCTGGCAGTAGTGTCCTTGACCGCCATTATTAGGTTTCATCCCCTTGCGTGGCTGGCCCCGCCGCCCACCAGGATAGAGTGTCCAGTGGGGTCCAGCCTCGTAGCTGCTGAGGCAGTGTGCTTTTGCTTGCAGGGTGGATCCATTTCCACCCTCCCACGCCTCCCTGTCGGACAGCAGCCGCTGTACTGGGCTGCTGGACTCCTGGTCCTATGGGCCAGGGCCTGGGGAGTGGCTTGTCTCTGCCTCTTGCTGCCTGGGCCTTTGCTGAGAAGGCCTCCCGACAGGATGCCTTGAGGGACGGGGCTCAGCTGGGGCCATTGACCCTGGCAGCTGCTGCTTGGGAGTGTCCCAAGGGGCAGTGTCTGGAGAGCTAGTGGCTGAGAGACTGGCAGAGCATGGCGCTTGTGGCTTGGGATTGTCAGTCGTCCAGCATCCCTTCTGCCTGGCTTTACTGGTTGAAGCGGCCAGAGTGGGCCAAGGTTGGGGTAGGGGAAGAGCTGAGGGCTGGCAGCCTCTTAGACCCTAGCTCTGGATGAGAGGAGTGCCCAGGAATTTGCTACCTGTGGCTACTTTGTAATTTTTATCCATACTGGGTGTGTGAGAGTCAAGAGGGAGTGGCATTGATAGTTCAGTTAGGGAGGCGCTGTGGGTAGGTGGGGCTCCCTGTCCTGGTGGGGGTGGCACGGCCACCCTGCGTCCCGTGCTCTTCCTGAGCCGGCCCAGAGGTGCCTGTCGTCGTCTCCTGCAGATTGGGTGTTGACAGAGCCTGCTCTGTTTGTGTCTCTTTGTGTCCTCGTCGGCCGTCTCCAGTGAGAGCTGGTGCCGTGCTGGTGAAGGTTCCTCGTTGTGGGCGGTGTGCATGTCCCCCACCCTCTGTCTAGGACTTGGGCTTTCCGACCCCCAGTCAGCCCTTACAGGAAGGAGCTGCTCCCATGTGTAGCCCAGTGTTTCTGCCCAGTTCTTGTTGGGTTGGATATATTTGAATTTATGTGATGTAAATTAACTTTTGATTTTGCATGTCACATAGGGTAGATCTAGACGAGTTCTTAAATGGTTTTCAGACAAGGAAGAGAGCCTTACTCGCCTGGTAGGACATGCTGATATTCTTTAGAGGGAAGGAAGGAGGTTTGAGTGGTGAATGTGAGCATAGGACAGACTGTGGGAGTCGCCCAGCGAGGGAGCTGCTGTAGCTGGCTGGGTGATGGGGCCCCTGCCTGGTGCCTGGGAAGTGGCGTGCAGGACTAGCGAGCCCTCGACCAGGCCTGCTGGTTGCTCCTTTGCTGCTCCTGTGCCTCTGTGTTTAGCACAGCATGGGGACGCTCCCCTCCACTTGAGAGGTGTTTGCGTTCTGCACTTGGTATAAGATCCGGCGACCCAGAGTATGTGCTGTGGGGTGGAAACGCCAGCTGCCGGCTCCGCTCTCGTGGTTCAGTGCTGGGTTTGCCTCCGGCCTCTCCTGCAGGCTCAGCTCAGGTTTCTTCTGTGTGTTGGCTGCCTTCTCGCCGCAGAGGCAGCTCCTGACTGCACACCTGCCAGCCCCAGCGGTGGTGGTGGCGTCACTGCGGTTGTACCTGGGCCTCTGTGTCCTCTGCCGCCCGCACTCCACGAGGTGGTCTCACCCGTCTTTGTGAGGCTCCTGCGAGCCGTGCGGTCCTGGCCTCTGCTCTTGCCGTGTCTGCCCCTTCATTTGCACCGTGCAGGCCGATGGTGTCTGGGTTCTGCTCTGACAGGCTTGCAGCTCTCACAGCTTGTCACAGGGCTTCGCGCTCTGCCCTCGAGAGAGGCCCTGGCCGAGGATTCCTGTCCAGCAGGTTGCACTTTCCCACGTTCCTGCTGAAGAAAACGCGCCTGTTTGTGTTTAGTTCCTATTTGGGTCATGGTTTGTACTGTGATTTTCCTGTAGTTTGGTTCCTATTTGGGTCATGGTTTGTATTTGAGATTTTCCTGCAGTTTGCTTATCTTTTGCTTTCTTTGGTAGTCCTACACAGACTTGACCCGTGATTTATTCTGTTTATTGCTGAAATCCTCTTCTGCCTTCTGGAAGACTCTGTTCCATGTTTCTGCTGACTGTCGGGAGCCCTGTTGTGGAGCAGTCCCGTCACAGTCAGGGCTGGTGCATCCTCCCTCTGGGCTCTTCCCACTTTCCAAAATCCATTGGCAGTTTTACTGAGAGGTTGGGGAACATTCCAGTCGTTAACTGCTAAGTAAAAGTTGCAGGCTTTTCCTAGTTTTTTGAGAGCTTTTATTATGAAGGAGTACTGGCTGTCGTCAAATGCTTTCTCTGCTTTTATTGGGTGATCACGTGCTTTTTATTCTATTAATGAAGTATATTGCATTAATTGATTTTTGTATGTAAAACAAGCTTGCTTTCTCTGCAAACCCCATTTGGTTGGGTCTGGCTTTGTGGTGCAGTGGGTTAACCTCCACCTGCAATACCGGTATCTTGTGTGAGCACTGTTTTGAGTCCTGGCTGTTGTACTTCCAATCCAACTCCCTGCTAATGTGCTTGGGAAGGCAGCAGAAGATGGCTCAAGTGCTTTAGCCCCTGCCATCCAAGAATACGTGGAAAGGATTTTACATGGTAGCCAAATGGCTTTGTTTTTTCAAAGATTTACTCTTTATTTATTTGAAAGGCAGAGTTACAGAGAGGGAGAGACAGAGAGAGATCTTCCATCTTTGGTTCCCTCCCCTAAATAGCCCCAACAAATGGGGCTGGTCCAAGCTAAAGCCGGGAGCCAGGAACTCTCTCCAGGTCCTCTGTGTGGGTGACAGGGACCCACATACTCTGCTGCCTTCCCAGGCGCATTAGCAGGAAGGTGGACTGGAAGTGGAGCAAGCGCTCTGAGATGGGATGCAGGTGTCTGAAGCAGCAGCTCACCCGTGTGCCACAGTGCTGGCCCCAAAGCACCAGGCTGAAAGGCAGCAATCCTAAGTGTTCAGTGAGAGTTTCCAGGTGATGATGGGGTATCTGCAGTGTGGCACGCAGGTCTGGGCCACACGTCAGCACCCAGCGCACGTCAGCACCCAGGAGCACCGACGCGGCTAGCGTGAAGTGAGTCTGCTGACTTGCTGTCTGGAAGAGTTGATTGAGGGCTTCTAGGTTGAGTTGAGGGAGAAGGAGTGCTGGAGAGAGCAGAAGAGCTTCTGCCGAGGGACTTTGAGCGCAGCGATCGGGAGCGTCTTAGAGTGACTGCAGGCCCACAGAGACTGCAGTGACCAGCTGTTCACACCCCCCGTGCCAGTTTGGGTGGTGGAGGCGTGCTGTGCCCTCAGACCGCTTCTGGGCTGCTTGTTGCTGGTGAGCTTCGGAGCACGGTGGCTGCTCCTGGTCCTGGGGGCTGGGGTCGGGTCAGTTTCTCACTTGAGACTTGCTTGAGAGTGCTTGGTGAAGTCCTCTTCCCTGTGGTCGAGTGGTTTGTTGTGTGGCGCAGGGCGTTCTCACCTTGCCTGTCCCGGCTGATTAAGGGGCTTGAGTACTTGCGTGCGTTGCTGCATTTGCCCGCCAGGCCTCAAGGCAGAAGGGAAGGCTTCAGGTTGAGGACTCTGGAGGCCAGAGCAGTGTTCTCTGACAGCTGCTCCTCTGAAGACGGCACCATCACTCAGTGCTGTGTGAGGCCTGCGCTGGGGGGTGTGGAGCTAATGCATTCTCGTGGACTGAGATGAGTGAGACTTGAGAAGGGATCCTCTGTTCTTCCCCAAGTTTCCTTTTCACAGACTGACGCCTTGAGGTTCAGCCTGCACATGTTTTGTTGGTGCCCAGGTTGGGAAGGAGTCTGCATCCGTGCTGAGCTGCACCCACCCTGGTCCCTTCTGCACCTGTGACTGAGCTGCACCCGCCCTGGTCCCTTCTGCGTCCGTGCTGAGCTGCACCCACCCTGGTCCTTTCTGCGTCCATACTGAGCTGCACCCACCCTGGTCCCTTCTGTGCCTGTGCTGAGCTGCACCCGCCCTGGTCCCTTCTGTGCCTGTGCTGAGCTGCACCCGCCCTGGTCCCTTCTGTGTCTGTGCTGGGCTGCACCCACCCTGGTCCCTTCTGCGCCTGTGCTGGGCTGCACCCACCCTGGTCCCTTCTGCGCCCGTGCTGAGCTGCACCCACCCTGGTCCCTTCTGTGTCCGTGCTGAGCTGCACCCACCCTGGTCCCTTCTGTGCCTGTGCTGGGCTGCACCCACCCGTGTGTCCCTTCTGCGCCTGTGCTGGGCTGCACCCACCCTGGTCCCTTCTGTGCCTGTGCTGGGCTGCACCCACCCTGGTCCCTTCTGCACCCGTGACTGAGCTGCACCCACCCTGGTCCCTTCTGCGCCTGTGCTGGGCTGCACCCAGGTCTCGCGAAGGCGTCTGCACTTTCTGGTCCCCCCTTGCTTTGTCACTGCACAGCTGTTCTTGTCACTGAAAGTTCTGAAGGAGGCGGCGGATGTTTTAATGATGTATGTTTTGAAGTTGTAAATGAATCTGCAACATTTTAAAAAGATTTTTTTTTCAGGCACAAATATTTAAACATGGAAAACGTGAAGACTGTTTACCTTACGGTGAGGCTCATTTTAAAAAAATTCCTTTTGTAAAAGTTCTGCTTAATGTAGCACTTGCATGTTTTTATGGGGTTCAGAGTGATATTGATACGTGCACACAGGATCAGCCAGTCAGCCGGCATTTCCATTTCTTTATCTTTTCTTTGTGTTTACAAGTTAGAAAAACGGCTTCCTAGAAGCTGGGAAGGGGTGGGGACAGAGGGAGGCTGGGTTAGCGGCCCCAGATGCAGGGTAGAAGTGGAGCCTGCGGCACAGCAGGTGGCTCTGGCTGACCGTGATGTGCTGCACCCTGTACTGAGGGCTGGGGGGCTGCTGGGTGCTCCACACACCAGGGCCCATTTAGAGGAAAGTGTGTGTGAGGGAGGTGCCACAGCTGGTCGGTGTGTATCTGATGTTTGTTTGTGGATGCCAGCCTTGGTTTTAGGTTGTTTTGTGTGACTTTCAGGAGATTGCTGAGGGCTTGTGCTGGAGGTCTGGGGGCCCTGGGCACAGTGGACATAGCCCTGACTTGCTGCTGGCTTCCTGGGCCGTACTGCAGCCAGCTTCCTGTCATGGCCTCCCCACCCCTCCATGAAGCTCCAGGCTCTAGGCTTCAGGCTCCATCCCAACTTCTCCTCCTTCCTCTTGTCCCTTAGACAGTTGTTTTAGATCTTGTCCATCTTATAGTCAAGCCCAGCTCTGAAATCCAGCCATGAACAACCATCCCAGCATCTTAGGTCCCCCCCGCCATGGAGCACTGAACTGTGTGTTCCTGGCCTCAGCTCCCCTCTGCAAAGCCTGCCGGCCCCAAGGTGGCCTCTGTGGCACAGGAGCCATTAGGGGCCAGCAGCCGCCTCCTTTGTGCAGAGGTCCTCCCCACCATGCTGCCCTGAGCTGGGTCTGGAGCTCTGCCCGGGTTCAGCTTCCCATCCCACACAGCGCGATGACCCCAGGGCCCCATGCGAGCTGTGAGCCAGCTCTCTCGATGCAGGGCTCCCCTCTTGCCTCAGACCTTTCTGTGGGGCCGGGCTCTGAGGTTCCTGTTCCCAGAAAGGAGGTTGGGCTGGACTCCAGCTACGTTTAGTAAATGGACTGGGAGGAAGGGGATCTTGGTGGCAGGCATTGAGGAGTTCCCTGTAAAGTTAGGCTGTCACCTGCATTGAGCCCCTGTGGAATTGTCTGGGTTCAGGCCTGCAGGTGTGAGACACGTGGTGCGCAGGGAAGGTCCCCTGGAGCCCTCCCACCACTCTGAGTCCAGTGTCTGTTGTTTGCAGCTGCTACTGTGCTTGCCTGCCTGGACAGCTGCAGACTCCCTGAGAGCAACCAGACCCTGCTGCGGAAACTGGGCGTGAAGCTTGTGCAGCGGCTGGGGCTGACCTTCTTGAAACCAAAAGTGGCAGCGTGGAGGTGGGTAGAGGAGTGTGAGCGAGCGTCTGTTGGGGTGGCCAGCCCTGTGGCTGGAGCCGTAGCCATCTGCGTTTCAGGGGGCGATGGCCTAAGGGACTGATCAATCAAAAGTGTCTTCTTGCATTTTCTCTTTTTTATTTTAAAGATTTATTTATTTATTTGAAAGGCAGAGTTACAGAGAGGCAGAGAGAGAGAGAGACAGAGACAGAGAGACAGAGAGACACACACAGAGACAGAGAGAGAGAGGTCTTCTATCCACTGGTTCACTCCGCAAATGGCCACAATGGTTGAAGCTGGGCTGATCTGAAGAGCTTCCATGTTTCCCATATGGGTGCAGGGGCTCAAACACTTCCCATTCCCTCCCTCCCTCCCTCCCTCCCTCCCTCCCTCCCTCCCTCCTTCTTTCTCTCTTTCTCTCTTTCTCTTTTCTTTTCTTTTCTTTTCTTTTCTTTTCTTCTTTCTTCTTGAAGATTTATTTATTTTATTTGAGAGGCACACTGGGAGACTCGAGAGAGAAGTCTTCCATCAACTGGTTCACTCGCCAATGGCCGCCGCGGTCGGCGCGCTGCGGCCGGCGCACCGCGCTGATCCGATGGCAGGAGCCAGGAGCCAGGTGCTTTTCCTGGTCTCCCATGGGGTGCAGGGCCCAAGCACCTGGGCCATCCTCCACTGCACTCCCTGGCCACAGCAGAGGGCTGGCCTGGAAGAGGGGCAACCGGGACAGAATCCGGCGCCCCGACCGGGACTAGAACCCGGTGTGCCGGCGCCGCTAGGCGGAGGATTAGCCTAGTGAGCTGCGGCGCTGGCTCTTCTTTCTTCTTGAAGATTTATTTATTTTATTTGAGAGGCAGAGAGAGAGAGAGAAGTCTTCCATCCGCTGGTTCACTCCCCAGATGGCAGCAATGGCCAGAGCTGTGCCGATCCAAAGCCAGGAGCTTCTTCCGGGTCTCCCGCGTGGATGCAGGGGCCCCAGGACTTGGACCATTTTCTACTGCTTTCCCAGGCCACAGCAGAGAGCTGTATCAGAAGTAGAGCATCCGGGACTCAAACTGGTGCCCATATGGGATGTTGGCACTGCAGATGGCGGCTTTACCCGCTGTGCCACAGTGCTGGCCCTTGTGGGCCATTTTCTACTGCTTTCCTAGGCCATAGTAAAGAGCTGTATTGGAAGAGGAGCAGCCAGGACTTGAACCGGCACCCATGTGGGATGCTAGTACCGCAGGCAGAGGCTTTACTGCTCTGCCATGTGCTGGCTCCTCTTTTTTTTTTTTTTTTTTTTTTTTTAAGACTTGTTTATTTCAAAGGCAGAGTTAGAGGGAGAGGCAGAGATACACACATACACACACACACACACGGGAGAGAAAGAGGGAGAGAGAGGGGGAGAGGAGAGAGAGATATCTTCCATTTGCTGGTTTACTCACCAGATGTCTGCAGTGGCAGGAGCTGGGCTGATATGAAGCAGGAGCTTCTTCTGGGTCTTCTTGGGCCACCTTCCACTGCTTTCCCGGGTACATTAGCAGGGTGCTGGATCAGGAGTGAAGCAGCCGAGACTTGAACTGGTGCCCATTTGGGTTACAGGTTCTGCAGGTGACAGCTTTACCCACTATACCACAGCATGGCCCTAATCCTAAAAGTGTTTCTGATTTTAAATGGAAAAGTTTTACTTCTGGCTGTTTTCTGATCTTGCATCTAGAATACTTGAAGCTGGAGTGATGGCAGGAAAAACTTGTTATGGTCATGTGGCACAGCTTTGCTACTGTGGTCTTCGATCAGTAAATCCAAATTCTGGGGCTGGTACTGTGGCTTAGGGGTTAAAGCCACCGCCTGTGACAGCGGCATCCCATGGGTGCTGGTTTGAGACCTGGCTGCTCTGCTTCCAATCCAGCTCCTTGCTAATGTGCTTGGGAAAACAGTAGATGGCTCGAATGCTTAGACCCCTACACCCACATGGGAGACCCAGAAGAAACTCTTGTCTTCTGGCTTCCACCTGGCCCAGCCCTGGCTTTTGCGCCAATCTGGGGAGTGAACCAGCAGATAGAAGATCTCTCTTTCTCTCTCTGTCTCTTTCTTTTTCTGTATAACTCTTTCAAATAAATAAATCTTAAAAATATAAAAATTCCAGCTTTCTTTCAGAAAAAACCAAGTGGACTTCTCTAGGTGTATTCAGAAGGTGAAATCATCTGGGGCCGGCGCCGTGGCTCACTTGGTTAATCCTCTGCCTGCCCGGTTGCTCATCTTCCAGTCCAGCTCTCTGCTGTGGCCCGGGAGGGCAGTGGAGGATGCCCCAAGTGCTTGGGCCCTGCACCCCATGGGAGACTAGGAGGAAGTGCCTGGCATCTGGCTTCGGACCGGCGTAGCTCCGGCTGTGGCGGCCATTTGGGGAGTGAACCAACGGAAGGAAGACCTTTTTCTCTGTCTCTCTCACTGTCTAACTCTGCCTGTCAAAAAAAAAAAAAAAAAGGCTGGTGCCGCGGCTCACTAGGCTAATCCTCCGACTGCAGCGCCATCACCCTGGGTTCTAGTCCTGGTTGGGGCACTGTATTCTGTCCTGGTTGCTCCTCTTCCAGTCCAGCTCTCTGCTGTGGCCTGGGAGGGCTGAGGAGGATGGCCCAAGTGCTTGGGTCCCTAAACCCTTATGGGAGACCAGGAGGAAGTACCCGGCTCCTGGCTTCGGATTGGCGCAGTGTCGGCCGTAGCGGCCATTAGGGGAGTGAACCAATGGAAGGAAGACCTTTCTCTCTGTCTCTCTCTCACTGTCTATAACTCTTTCTCTCTCTCACTGTCTAACTCTGCCTGGCCAAAAAAAAAAAGAAGGTGAACCCGTCTTTGCTCATCAGTGGAGTTGCTGTCCTTGCTTTAGCTGACTGATCCAGATGAGGACCCTATAGAGCATGCAGACTTTTCTGATGTTCTTGGGGTGCTATTCCTTTTTTTTTTTTGACAGGCAGAGTGGACAGTGTGAGAGAGAGACAGAGAGAAAGGTCTTCCTTTGCCGTTGGTTCACCCTCCAATGGCCGCCGCGGCTGTCGCGCTGTGGCCGGCACACCGCGCTGATCCGAAGGCAGGAGCCAGGTGCTTCTCCTGGTCTCCCATGGGGTGCAGGGCCCAAGCACTTGGGCCATCCTCCACTGCACTCCCTGGCCACAGCAGAGAGCTGGCCTGGAAGAGGGGCAACCGGGACAGAATCCGGCGCCCCGACCGGGACTAGAACCCGGTGTGCCGGTGCCGCAAGGCAGAGGATTAGCCTAGTGAGCCACGGCGCCGGCCTTTTTTTTTTTTTTTTTTTTTTAAAGATTTATTCTTTTATTTGAGAGAGAGCATTACAGACAGAGGGAGGGAGAGACAGAGAGAGAGAGGTCTTCCATCCGCTGCGTCACTCCCCAAATGGCTGCAATGCTGGAGCTGGGCTGATCTGAAGCGAGGAGCCAGGAGCTTCTTCTGGATCTCCTATGGAGGTGCAGGGGCCTCAAGCACTTGGGGCATCCTCCACTGCTTTCCCAGGCCATAGCAGAGAGGTGGACTGGAAGAGGAGCAGCCGGGACTAGAACTGGCGCCCATATGGGATGCCAGCGCCACAGGCAGAAGCCTAGCCTGCTACACCACAGTTGTGGCCCCATGATTTAGTTTAGCTAAAGCTTTGCTCTGAATTACAGCAAACCCAAAGCCATATGTTGTGTTTTTGTGATGTTTCACTGGCTACTTTTGGGTGTGCGTTGCATACAGCTTGTTCCAGCAAAGGCTTATTAGACAGAATGTGAGTGGCTAGTTCCAGAGTGCTGTGGGAGATGGTTCCGTGCCATATGGGGCAGGCATCTTCAGAGAATCGCAGCTCACAGGATGTATAGATGTGCACAGAAAGGGACCTGTTAGGAAGAATTGGTTCCCATGGTTGTGGAGGCCGGGGGAGCTGCTGTGTCTGCAGCCCTCTCTTCTGTTCAGGTCCCCCTCTGGTTTATTCAGTCTGCTTTCCTCCATCCTCTGGTTTGGATGTGACTGTCATCCAGAGACTCCCCACAGACAGGCCAGAGTGATGTTAGGGCAGACAGCGGGCCCCTCTGGCCCAGGCAGCTGGGTACACAGAATCAGGCTCTCACAAGTACTAGACACATCATGTGGGAGAGAGATGATTTTTTCCTGAAGGTTTACTCATTTATTTGAAAGGCAGAATTAGAGAGAGAGAGAGAGAGAGAGAGAGAGAGACAGACAGACAGACAGACAGACTCCATCTGCTTATTCACCCCCAAATGGCTACAATGGCCAGGGCTTGGGCAGATCAAAGCCAGGAGCCAGGAACTCCATCCAGGGCTCCCGCATGGTTGGTAGGAGCTCAAGCACTTGGGCCATTATCTTCCACCTTCCCAAGCACCTTAACAGGAAGCTGGATCAGAAGCGGAATAGCTGGGACTCGAACTGGCACTGGGGCAGGGGTTGCTGGCGTCACAAGCCTGGCTTAACTTGCCTCACCATGATGCAGGCCCCTCGCACTGGACACTCTGATGCACGAGGCCCTGTCCTGTGAGTTGGCTTCTGTTGCTTGCCGTGTGCTTGTGCCCAGCAGGAAAGGTGGCGTTTGTGGGGCCTTGCTGTGCACCGTGCTGGTGTAAGATGTTTTGCACATCCTCCTTGAGCAGGGCCATATCCCCGTTTACAGGAAGGGAAACTGAGGTTTAGGAACTGTTTAGGAGCAGCTCAGTAGGCATGGAGCTGGCTCTGATTCATCAGCCAGGTCTCAGGGCCTGAGCTCTGGGGCTCACTGTACATTCAGGGGAGATGCCCGTTCCCCCATTTGGGTGGGAAATAGGGCTGTGGTGTGGGGGAACTTTTGCAAGGTATTCTGGGGGCAGGTCTGTGGGGGTGGTGATGGAGGAGATGGAGGAGGCCAGGCAGGCCCTGGGAAGGGCGTGGTGCACCCTTTGCTGCCCAGGGCCGTCTTACCCTCGGGCTTTCTCTCCCAGTTTCCCACCTGTGTGTTTGCAGGGTTGATGTGTGTGGGGACCAGGCTTCTCCCGCAGTTGATCTGATGACTTTGCTCAGTGCCTGCTTTTGTCTCTCTAGATGCACGGCGCTTTCACAGGCGTCCTTAACAATTCAAAAGGAAGCTTAGTGCTGATTTCCTAACGTAGGTCAGCAGCTGATCTGAGTGTTTTCGTCTGCGTAGGTATCAGCGTGGCTGCCGGTCTTTGGCTGCTAATCTGCAGCTCCGCACCAAGGGTCAGCATGAGGAGAAACCACAGGTGGTGACGTCTGACAATGATGAAGACTACGATATCCCAGAGGGGGTGGAGAGCGTGATAGGTATGTGGGGTTCATGGCCGATGCCTCTGCTGGCCTTTGTGTCCTTGGGGCCACACTCCCTTTCCCCTCAGTGCCAGCTCCACCTGACTGTCTGCCAGTGTGCTGTGCACAGGGCTCCTGAGGGCCAGACATGACCCCATCCATGGATGTTCTCCTCTGAGCTCCCCCTGTCCACACCGCCTACCACACCCCCACAGCCCCGTGGCCATGCCGCCTTCCCGCACACCTGCCTGGATGCACTTGGCTGCTCACCTGAGTGTCTCTGGGTACAGAAGACTCAGGTAATGGAGTTAGGGTTCAGATCCCTGGTCCCCAAACCCTGCGTTGTCCATCAGACGTTCCTAGGGGCCGTCTCAAACCCCACGAGCATCCTGCAGTTCCTAGAGGTCTGACTCATGGTCTCGTTTCCCTTTGTGGAAAGGGGCTCGTTTCCCTTTGTGGAAGGGGCTCTGTCCGCAGAGCCCCTTCGCCGTGGCCAGTCTAGGGCGGTTCCTGCCTGTATTTCCTTTGTGCCCACGTTCCCCACTGCGTGCCCCCTTCCCAGTGGGGAGGACAGGTCAGGCTGCCCTGCTGCTGTGTTTTGTCTGCTCACATCTGCTCTGCCTCTCGGAGACCCCTCTTCTGGTCCCCACCCGGAAAGCTAGGAGACTCACAGCTGCCATGAGTAACTCAGAGTCACCTTGAGCACCGCTGTCTGAGGCGAAGCCCTTGTCTCCTCTTCCTGGGCTGCCTGGCTGCCCTTGGCACTCCTGTCCGCTCTGCCTGTGTCCAGCTACCCTGCGGCTCCACATGGGCTTCTTCTGAACACCTCCCTGTGGCTGTTTCTTGTCATCAAACTTTCCCAGGCAGCCAAGGGGCCCTCGCAGGGCTTGACCTGTCCACCAGAAGGGCTCATCTTGCCCAGCCTCCAACAGACAGCTCCCTGGAACCTCCCAGCCTGCTTCAGACACCCTTGACCTTCTGGCCTCTCTGGGCTGGGGGAGGCGGCTGCTCTTGTTAGTGATTTGATGGGTGTGGGGAGCAGCTCGGACTAGACTGTTACTGGAATTAAGACTTATTCTATGCATCTGCTCTCCCACAATATGGCGCTGGGAGAGAAGTAAACAGCTTCCGCACAGCTGCCTCCAGTTCAACCAATTAACTGTAGGACTTGCTCCTGATTGGAGAGCAGCGTACTTGGCGTGTGGGCAGCCGAGTTAGGATTGGCGGAAGAGGACTATAAAGGAGGAGAGAGACGGCATGCACCGGGAACATCTATGGGGAACATCTAAGGGAACCCGTGCAGCCCCCGAGAGAGCCGGCCGGCGGTGTGCCGCTCCCCTGCGGAAGTGGGGAATGCGGCCAGGGGGAACCGCCCTTCCACGGAGGTGGAAGGGATAGTAGCCAACCCGGGAAGAACCAGCAGCAAACCCGGGGAGGGCCGAGCAGACGAAAGAACAGCGCAGGGTCCAGTGTTGCTCCTCCACGAAGAGGGGGAGCGACATAATGGTGCCGTGACTCGGATAGGAAACCTGACTCGGATAGGAAACCTGACTCGGATAGGAAACCTAGCTTGGATAGGAAACTTAGGACGGATATGAAACTTAGGAGGGAAGAAACGGGAAGAACTGGGAAAATATCGGAGAGAGAGACTAGCAAACAGCCTAGGGAAAAGCCGGACGAAAAGGGTGCCGGAAGAAGCTATTGAAAGCCTAGGCATAGACTCGGATACGGACTACGGGGGGAAGCTGGGAGGAATCTCTAAGGTCGAAAGCGAAAGTGAAAGCTAGAACAAACAGACTCGGATGCGGACTGTGGGGAGAGGCCAGGAGAAATGAGGGAGGAATATCGTTGGAGGAAAGCTTGGGGAAACATACCGGGTAGAGAAAAATGTTAGGGAAATTGAAGCCGCGGGGGGCAGGCCGAGGCGGAAACGGAAGCCACTTTGGGGTTCTCAAGTTAGCCCGGGAATAGGGGGCGAAAAGTTGAAACCAGAAGCTGAAACGTGAGCCAGGTTGGGATCCGTCTGATTAGCCCGGGGAGCAAAGGACGGGAAGCCAAACCGTGGGGCGGAGACGTACGCTGGGTTGAATTCGCCAGGCTAGCCCGGGGAACTTGGATTGAATCCTAGTGGCGGAGACGCAAGCTACGCTGTGTTACTCGCGGAAGCCGCCGCGTGCAGAGAGAGCACGGGGCGTGAATAGATAGGGAACGCTGGCGTAGGCCGTGGTTCAGACGCGAAAGGGTTAAGCGTGGAGACCGCGGAGCGCGCAAAGTCGAGCCGCGCAAAGCCGGGAAGCTGCGCAGATGAGAGAGGCATGCGGGCTGAAGCGGCGCAGAGCCGGGAACCCGCCGGCGGGGCGAGGTGCCGGAAAGCTGCGGGGATAAGAGAAACAGAAGTTTGGAAGTGAAGTAAAAGAGAAATGGGAATGCTGGAAGATAGAAGTGAAATGGGAGAGGTAGGAATGCCCGGAGATAGAGAAATAGAGAAAAATAAGGCCTCCCCTCAACATGCCAATTAGAAGGCTTGGATTCGGTCTGCCCGATTAGTGAGGCGATGAGCACCTGGGCGGCTAGCCGCAGGTCACCGAAGACAGGCACGAATTAACATCAAGGCTTCCCCACAATGCAACAATTAGGAGGCTTGGATTCGGTCTGCCTGATTTAAGGCGGTAAGCGCCAGCAAAGCTCGACCAGAGTATGAGCTGCAGGTCACCGAAGATAGGCACGAACCAACACTAATAAGTCTCCCCCACAATAAGGCAATGAGAAGGCTTGGATTCGGTTTGCCTGATAGGTCTTGTAAGTCCCCTGCAGGCAGAGCAGAGCATGCGCTGCAGGGCACCGAATACAGGCACGCATCAGCGCCTAAAAACCTCCTCACAACATGGCGAAGAGAGGACCCGGATTCGGTTTTCCTGATTGATAGGACTTGTAAGAGCCTGTGGCAGCTCTAGCAAGTAGAGCAGAGTGTGTGCCGCGGGACACCGAAGACAGGCGTGTATCAACGCCAAAAATAAAAAGAAAGGGGGATCTGTGGGGAGCAGCTCGGACTAGACTGTTACTGGAATTAAGACTTATTCTATGCATCTGCTCTCCCACAATATGGCGCTGGGAGAGAAGTAAACAGCTTCCGCACAGCTGCCTCCAGTTCAACCAATTAACTGTAGGACTTGCTCCTGATTGGAGAGCAGCGTACTTGGCGTGTGGGCAGCCGAGTTAGGATTGGCGGAAGAGGACTATAAAGGAGGAGAGAGACGGCATGCACCGGGAACATCTATGGGGAACATCTAAGGGAACCCGTGCAGCCCCCGAGAGAGCCGGCCGGCGGTGTGCCGCTCCCCTGCGGAAGTGGGGAATGCGGCCAGGGGGAACTGCCCTTCCACGGAGGTGGAAGGGATAGTAGCCAACCCGGGAAGAACCAGCAGCAAACCCGGGGAGGGCCGAGCAGACGAAAGAACAGCACAGGGTCCAGTGTTGCTCCTCCACGAAGAGGGGGAGCGACATAATGGTGCCGTGACTCGGATACGAAGCCTAGGCAGGGTTCAGTGTTGCTCCTCCACGAAGAGGGGGAGCGACAGATGGGGTCATCTAGGAACAGTGGCAAAAATGGACTTTAAATGATGACTTAAAACCCCTGTGAAGGAAGTGTGTGTGTGTGTGTGTGTTTTTTTTTTTTACAGATAGAGTTAGACAGTGAGAGAGAGAGACAGAGAGAAAGGTCTTCCTTCTTCTGTTGGTTCACCCCCAAGTGGCCGCTACAGCCGGCGTGTTGCGGCCAGTGCGCTGCACCTATCTGAAGCCAGGAGCCAGGTGCGTCCTCCTAGTCTCCCATGCAGGTGCAGGCCCCAAGGACCTGGGCCATCCTCCCCTGCCTTTCTGGGCCACAGCAGAGAGCTGGACTGGAAGAGGAGCAGCTGGGACAGAATCCGGCGCCCTGCCCGGGACTAGAACCCGGGGTGCCGGCGCCGCAGGTGGAGGATTAGCCTAGTGAGCTGTGGTGCTAGCTAGAAAGTGTTCTTATGATTAAAGTCTAAGTTCCTTTTTTGTTTTTTATTTTTTATTTTTTATTTATTTTATTTATTTTTTTTTTGCCAGGCAGAGTGGACAGTGAGAGAGAGAGACAGAGAGAAAGGTCTTCCTTTTCTGTTGCTTCACTCTCCAGTGGCCGCTGCGGCCGGTGCACTGCGCTGATCTGAAGGCAGGAGCCAGGTGCTTCTCCTGGTCTCCCATGGGGTGCAGGGCCCAAGCACTTGGGCCATCCTCCACTGCACTCCCGGGCCACAGCAGAGAGCTGGCCTGGAAGAGGAGCAACCGGGACAGAATCCGGCGCCCCGACCGGGACTAGAACCTGGGGTGCCGGCGCCGCAGGTGGAGGATTAGCCTAGTGAGCTGCGGCACCGGCCCTAAGTTCCTTTTTTTAATGTTCTTTTTCATCTACTTAAAAGACAGAGCAACATACACCACCGCATACACACATAGGCTCAGAGAGAGAGAGAGAGAATCTTTCATCCACTCATTCACTCTCCAAATGTCTGCAACAGCCAGGGTTGGGCTAGGCCAAAGCCAGGAGCTCCATCTGGGTTGCTAGTGTGGGTGTTGGACCCAGACACTTGAGCCATCTTCCGCTGCCTCCTAGAACGCGCTATTAGGAAGCTGGATGAGAACTGGAGTCTCTGGACTGCAGCTGGCACTATGCTATGGGATGGGGGATCCCAAGTAGTGGCTTAGTCAGCTGCACCACAGCGGCCCCCACCGAGGTTAAGGCTGTTGTGATTCCCTCCAGGGCATTCCTGTGAGCGCTGTCCGGGGTGGGTTCCCTCAGAGCTGGGCACTGAGGTGGGGGCTACAGGAAGTGGGCCTCCCTGTGAGCGCTGTCCCGGGTGGGTTCCCTCAGAGCTGGGCACTGAGGTGGGGGCTGCAGGAAGTGGGCCTCCCTGTGAGTGCTGTCCAGGGTGGGTTCCCTCAGAGCTGGGCACTGAGGTGGGGGCTGCAGGAAGTGGGCCTCCCTGTGAGCGCTGTCCAGGGTGGGTTCCCTCAGAGCGGGGCACTGAGGTGGGGGCTAGAGTAGATGGACCTTCCTCACCATCCTCTTGTTCCTGCAGAGCAGCTGCTGGGCGGGCTGAAGGACAAAGACACGATTGTGCGGTGGTCTGCGGCTAAAGGGTAGGCACCTGGCTCTTCCTGGGCCTTGGGGTCTGGATGTATATCCCAGTGGCCTGTGGAGCCTGTCACTATTTAATACTTGATTTGGGGCTTGAGGCCTCAAACGCCTTACAGATTTTTAAAAGGTAGAATGATTTTTTTCTAATTCATATGTGGAGCCTGTCACTATTTAATACTTGATTTGGGGCTTGAGGCCTCAAACGCCTTACAGATTTTTAAAAGGTAGAATGATTTTTTTCTAATTCATATTTATTATTTTATATCTTAACTTTAAAGATAATTACCGAAGTGAATTCTCGGCTCCCATGGGCGTGGTGTCAGATGAGGCTTCTGTTGTAGAGAAAAAAAGCTGGGTGCAGGGGCCGGGTGGGTGGGGCTGCCCTCCCCGCGGTCTCCTGGGCTTCTGTGCCCAGTGAGTTCCAGTCATCAAAGCCAAGCAGGGTTTCTGTGGGGTCTGAGGGTGAAAGTGCTGGAGGGCCCCACTGGGGTTCTTTGTGTCTGTTGACCGTGTCTCCCCCACAGTCCTGTCTGCCCAGGGTGGCAGGCCGTGGAGATAGGGCCAGAGGACGGGCTTTGCTGGAGGCCTCCGGCCAGCACCCTTCCTTGAGAGCTGGTCTCTGGTGCTGGCTGGTGAGCCACCAGGCCTTCCTAGCTGTGGGCCTCCGTGTCAGGTGGCCTGGTAGTAGGCATGGTCAGTGTCCAGCGTGGAGGCAGCCAGCAGGGTGGGCAGGCTCCGGTGGTGCCCGGAGCATTCTCCTTGTGCCTGTCAGTGGTGGCCAGCAGCGTCTGTACTGTGGTGACAGGTGTGCTGACTGCAGGCACTTGTGTGCCCGAGGCTCCTTTGCCCCTTTGCATCCACCTGCTGCAGGCCTGGACGAGCTCCTCACTCTGTCTGCTTATTCAGTGTGACACCCCCTGTGGCAGGTGAGGATTGCTGAGCAGTGTTCAAGGCCTGCTTTGGGTCATCTTCTCCTTGCCTGTTCTCTGGAGGAAAAGACGCACTTGGGGCGGCTCCTGTTTAGTGGACACCCTCCATGATGGGCTGATGGTACTGACCAGTTGTTACTGCTTTTTCCAGAATCGGTCGGATGGCTGGAAGACTTCCCAGAGAGCTGGCAGACGATGTGGTTGGGTCTGTGCTGGATTGTTTCAGGTATGTGAGAGGGTCACAGAGACACGCATGCCTAGGGCTTAACCCCATGTGCAAAGCAGTGGCTTTCTTTATTCATGTCCTTTTACATTTTTTAGTCATGCTATTCGTTAGGACCCCAGCAGCCCTCTTGCTTCCCTGTAGAATGTAAGCTTGGTAACTCGAGTTATTTCTGGTGTGTCGGGGTCCATTTGAGCAGATGCACACAGAGCTCTTTGCCCCTGGAGAGGGACCACCTGTCTCCACAACGTGCTGTGGCGCACAGTGTTCTGAGTCAGTTCCTGTCCTGGCTGGCGTGGCTGCTGAGACAGTAAAAATAAGGCTGGTGTGGACTTGAAATTGAACTTCATTTTAATGAACTAAAATTTAAACTTAGAGCCACTTGTGTTGAGCTGCTGCTGCCTCAGCCTGGGGGCGTGTGGGCCCTGGAAGGTGGGGGTGCGGGCTGGGGTGTGAGTGTGGGGCCTGCAGACCTGTGTCACGTGAGGCATTGTTCCTGCCACCTCCCTGTGGTGTTTTACTTTGCAGTGTAAACCTCTCTCCTGGTTTCAGAATGGCATTCTGCTTGCTCAGGACCCTGGTTTTGCTGTTGCCATTTGTTAGCTGGCTGCTGTTTCCTGGGACTGTCACTGTGAGGCTGTGACTAGCGTGCAGAAAGTTGTGTTGTCAGCACTTTTGAGTGCCCCAGCACACGTTTGTCAGTCGCTGGAGACAGGTCTGAGGTCAGCCCACAGCATGTTATCCTTCTGGAGCAGGTGTCCTCTTGCATTAGCCTCGAGCCTGCTCAGTCGCAAGTTAAGGAGTGTAGGACATAGCATGTCGAGTAGTGGTCTTTTCCCTCTGTGCTGTGTGTTGTGGAAGTGTTCCTTACCTCTCGGAGTAGTGTATGGGTTGAGAATGAGGTTTGCTTCTCCGTACGATTCTGCTGGCTGGTTTTAGGGTGGCCCTGCGGTTCTTTCTGAGGTTGATGGGCATGTTGTTAGTGCTGGGATGAGCCCTGTTCTGCCCTTCCCTGGGCAGTGGCTGTGGCACAGCAGCGAGGACAGCTTAGAGGGCCAGGGCCCCGCCACCTCGGCCTCCTTGGCTCCTTATGTCTTCTTCTTCTTTTTTTTTTTTTTTTTTTTTTTTTAAAGATTTATTTATTTTTATTTGAAAGTCAGAGTTACACAGAGAGAGGAGAGGCAGAGAGAGAGAGAGAGAGAGAGAGAGAGAGAGAGAGAGAAAATCTGGTCCTCCATCCGCTGGTTCACTCCCCAACTGGCTGCAACGGCCAGAGCTGCGCTGATCCGAAGCCAGGAGCCAGGAGCTTCCTCCAGGTCTCCCACATGAGTGCAGGGGCCCGAGCACCTGAACCATTCTTCTACCACTCTCCCAGGCCATAGCAGAGAGCTGGATCAGAAGTGGAACAGCCGGGTCTCAAACCGGCGCCCACATGGGATGCCGGCGCTTCAGGCCAGGGTGTTAACCCGCTGCGCCACAGTGCCAACCCCCCACTTATGTCTTTATGTATTTCTGTGTGTTCCCTTGCTAATTTGAAGCTGACTCTTCATCCAGCCCTTCCTCGAGCCTTCCTTTGCGTTTCCTCTCCTCCTCTTCTCAGCTAGACTCGTGGCCTCATCCCCACACGAGAGACTTCCTGGGCCCTGGTGTGTAGGTGAGTGAGGTCCTCTCATGCCTGGTGACACTGGTGACACCTGGCACCAGCAGACTCGAGGCCCCGCCTCCTGTGTCCATCTCTGCCTGAAGCCTTGGCAGGCCCTGAGCCCTAGCATGTCTGAGCAAGCTGACGCTGTACCCCAGCTGCGTGCTCTCCCCTCCCTGTCTGTGATCTTGTCTAGCTCATTTACTCTAGTTTTTTGTTTGTTTGTTTGTTTTTAGGGTTTGTTTATTTATTTGAAAGGCACAGTTACAGAGAGGCAGAGGCAGGAAGAGAGACAGAGAGGTCTTCCATCCTCTGGTTCACTCCCCAAGTGGCCGCAACGGCCGGAGCTGCTCTGATCTGAAACCAGCAGCCAGGAGCTTCTTCCTGGTCTCCCACATGAGTGCAGGGGCCCGAGCACCTGAACCATTCTTCTACCACTCTCCCAGGCCATAGCAGTGAGCTGGATCAGATGTGGAGCAGCTGGGACTGGAACCAGTGCCCGTATGGGATGCAGGCACCGGCTTTATCCGCTACGCCACAGTGCCGGCCTCTGCTTTGGCAATCTTTGTGACAAGTGTAGAGCATCTTTAGTTAAAATGTTAAGGGATACAGAGTACTGACACTAAGTTTTAGAAACAGTCACAGCCTTTGGCAGACTCATAATGAGCATCCAGAGTTTAAAAAAATTGTAATCAAGATTGACTTCCTTCTTGGTGGTGAGTGGGAGGGGCCTCTGTGTCTGTGTCTGTCTCGCCTTTCAGGACCTCGGGCACCCTGGCACTTGAGAGGTGTTGGCCAAGTGACCCCTGTCACTCAGACTCCTGTCTGAGTATCCTTGTGAATTTTTACAGTTAGGTATGCAACTTACTGGATTTCCTAAACATTTCTTTGCTGTCAAAGTAATCAGAATCAATAAAAGTCCTGTAGTCGTTTTCCTTTTTGGTGAGAATTATCTCCATGTTTATATTGGTAACAAAATATATTGGAAACTTAGAACAACTCTGATCACTCTAAGAAAGAAAGAATTACTTTCACTGATTATAATGCGAGGATCATACCCTTAAAAGAGCTGCTGAACCACTTCAGGAAAATTTTTACTAAATATAAAATATTACTTAAAACTTCTTTGTTAAAAGTCCATACTTCCTATAGTGCCAAAAAATCCTTTTTTTACGCTGGATTTGCTTGCTGCAGTGAACAGTGTGGTATCACGCAGGCAGGACCTTCCTGCTCTTTGCAGGCTCCATCTGCATTTGGTGGAATCCTGTGGGGAGCAATCCGGACCAGACTAAGTTACTCGAATTAGGACTTATTCTATGCATCTGCTCTCCCACAATATGGCGCTGGGAGAGAAGTAAACAGCTTCCGCACAGCTGCCTCCAGTTCAACCAATTAACTGTAGGACTTGCTCCTGATTGGAGAGCAGCGTACTCGGCGTGTGGGCAGCCGAGTTGGGATTGGCAGAGAAGGACTATAAAGGAGGAGAGAAACGGCATGCACCGGGAACATCTATGGGGAACATCTAAGGGAACCCGTGCAGCCCCCGAGAGAACCGGCCGGTGGTGTGCCGCTCCCCTGCGGAAGTGGGGAATGTGGCCAGGGGGAACTGCCCTTCCACGGAGGTGGAAGGGATAGTAGCCAACCCGGGAAGAACCAGCAGCAAACCCGGGGAGGGCCGAGCAGACGAAAGAACAGCGCAGGGTCCTGTGTTGCTCCTCCACGAAGAGGGGGAGCGACATAATGGTGCCGTGACTCGGATAGGAAACCTAGGACGGATATGAAACTTAGGAGGGAAGAAGCGGGAAGAACTAGGGAAAATATCGGAGAGAGAGACTAGCAAACAGCCTAGGGAAAAGCCGGACGAAAAGGGTGCCGGAAGAAGCTGTTGAAAGCCTAGGCATAGACTCGGATATGGACTACGTGGGGAAGCTGGGAGAAATCTTTAAGGTCGAAAGCGAAAGTGAAAGCTAGAACAAACAGACTCGGACGCGGACTGTGGGGAGAGGCCAGGAGAAATGAGGGAGGAATATCGTTGGAGGAAAGTTTGGGGAAACATACCGGGTAGAGAAAAGTGTTAGGGAAATTGAAGCCGCGGGGGGCAGGCCGAGGCGGAAACGGAAGCCACTTTGGGGTTCTCAAGTTAGCCCGGGAATAGGGGGCGAAAAGTTAAAACCAGAAGCTGAGACGTAAGCCAGATTGGGATCCGTCTGATTAGCCCGGGGAGCAAAGGACGGGAAGCCAAATCGTGGGGCGGAGACGTACGCTGGGTTGAATTCGCCAGGCTAGCCCGGGGAACTTAGATTGAATCCTAGTGGCGGAGACGCAAGCTACGCTGTGTTACTCGCGGAAGCCGCCGCGTGCAGAGAGAGCACGGGGCGTGAATAGATAGGGAACGCTGGCGTAGGCCGTGGTTCAGACGCGAAAGGGTTAAGCGTGGAGACCGCGGACCGCGCAAAGCCGGGAAGCCGCGCAGAGAGGCGCGCGGGCTGAAGCGGCGCAGAGCCGGGAACCCGCCGGCGGGGCGAGGTGCCGGAAAGCCGCAGGGATAAGAGAAACAGAAGTTTGGAAGTGAAGTAAAAGAGAAATGGGAATGCTGGAAGATAGAAGTGAAATGGGAGAGGTAGGAATGCCCGGAGATAGAGAAATAGAGAAAAATAAGGCCTCCCCTCAACATGCCAATTAGAAGGCTTGGATTCGGTTTGCCTGATAGAGCTTGTAAGCCCCTGCAGGCTCGACCAGAGCATGCGCTGCAGGGCACCGAACACAGGCACGCATCAGCGCCTAAAAACCTCCTCACAATGGCGAAGAGAGGACCCGGATTCGGTTTTCCTGATTGATAGGACTTGTAAGAGCCTGTGGCAACTCTAGCAAGTAGAGCAGAGTGTGTGCCGCGGGACACCGAAGACAGGCGCGTATCAACGCTAAAAAATAAAAAGAAAGGGGGATCTGTGGGGAGCAATCCGGACCAGACTAAGTTACTCGAATTAGGACTTATTCTATGCATCTGCTCTCCCACAATATGGCGCTGGGAGAGAAGTAAACAGCTTCCGCACAGCTGCCTCCAGTTCAACCAATTAACTGTAGGACTTGCTCCTGATTGGAGAGCAGCGTACTCGGCGTGTGGGCAGCCGAGTTGGGATTGGCAGAGAAGGACTATAAAGGAGGAGAGAAACGGCATGCACCGGGAACATCTATGGGGAACATCTAGCTGAAGGAACACCTGTACAGCCCCCGAGAGAACCGGCCGGTGGTGTGCCGCTCCCCTGCGGAAGTGGGGAATGTGGCCAGGGGGAACTGCCCTTCCACGGAGGTGGAAGGGATAGTAGCCAACCCGGGAAGAACCAGCAGCAAACCCGGGGAGGGCCGAGCAGACGAAAGAACAGCGCAGGGTCCTGTGTTGCTCCTCCACGAAGAGGGGGAGCGACAGAATCCCTGTTGGAGCCTGGCCTGTCGGAGGTGTCAGCACTTTGACGAATGTGAGGGTGTTGCTGCTTGTGTGGGGTAGCTGGAGTGTCACTGCCCCAGCGGGAGGACCCCTTGTGGCACCCCTGCACAGTGGCCATCACTGGATGTGGCTCCAGGGGCTGACCCAGGACTGTTCCCCATTGACAGGAGGTCTGTGCCTGTGGCTGCACCCACAGAGTGGACTGTTGTGTTTCCTCATCCAGCTGATGTTTCAGAAGCTCACTGATGGCCCAGAGCAGGGCCTGGCAGCCTGGCGGTCTCATGTCCTTGCGGACAGCTGACAGTATGCCTTTGCTCTCAGTTTTCAGGAGACAGACAAGGCGTGGCACGGCGGGTGTCTGGCACTGGCAGAACTGGGCAGGCGAGGCCTCTTGCTCCCATCGCGACTCACAGAGGGTAAGTAGCTACAGCACGTTCCCCTGTATCGCCAAGGCTGCTGGGGCACATCCTAGTCTTCACCTGCCCCTGCCTGCCCCGTGTGGCCCAGCTGGGAGCACACACAGTGCTTTCCAGGAGGAACGTGTTAGATGCATGTCTTGTGGCCTGTCTTTCCCCTGGGAACTTCCTAAATCTGATTTTTATACAGCAGATATCCTAAACACCTGGCTTTTGGGGGCCATGAACCCTGGGAATGTCTGATTTTTTTTTTTTTTACCCTTGGGAACCACGTTTCACCCTGTTGTCCACAGAGAGTACTGCAGCTGTAGTCCCCACAGGTATATGTGGGCCCTGGTGCTCGGCACCTGCAGAGTTGGCAAGGCAGCAGGGTATGATGTGGTGGGTGTGGAGGGACCATGAGCCCCAGACCACATGTTGGGCCGTGGCTGTCAGTGGCTGCTGTGGCTGGTGTGGACAGCCCCTGGGGTGGCTGGGGGTGTCCTGTGTGGGCAGAAGGAAAGGGTGTCTGGAAGGATGGACACTGTCCCCACAGTGTTACCAAAGGAGCATTTGTACTCAGGAGGTGGCTTCTGTCCATCATTGGGTCGTCTGAGCCATGCTGGTGCTTGGCTCAGTGACAGATGGGATCTTTTGGGGCCTGTAATTTCTGTTTAATTTTTCTGCTTTTGTCCTCAAAACTTGTTCATTTAAGAGGCAAACAGATGAGAGAGCGAGTTCTCATCTGCTGGTTCATTCTGCAGGTACCCACCGCATCTGGGGCTGGAGCTCAGAATGCTGCCCAGGTGTCTGGTGAGCTGTTGCTGCTGCCTCCCAGATCTGTGTCAGCAGGAAGCTGGATCAGGAACTGGAGCTGGGAACTGCACTCAGACATTTCTGTGTGGGGTGCTTTTGACAGCTTAACCTCTGGGCCAAAAGGCTGTCCATGTGTGTTTTTTTTTTTTTTTTTTTTTTTTTTTAAATCAAAACAGCTTTACTGGGATACAAGTCACATACCCTAAAGTTCACCTATTAGAGTGGACAGTTGGGGGGCAGGCATTTGGCCAAGTAGTTAAGCTGGGTGAGTACCAGGATTCAATGTTGTGGCTCCAGTTTCCTGCTAATGCAGACCCTGAGAGGCAGCAGTTTCAGCTCAAATAACTGGGTTCTTGCTACTGCACGTGAGAGACCTGGATTGAGTTCCTGATTTCTGGCTTTGGCCCAGCCCAGTCAGAGCCATTGCCCACACTGGGGAGTGAACCAGCTCATACTGTCTTTCACATACATAAATCAGTTTTTTTTTTTTTTTTAAGATTCTATTTATTTATTTGAAAGAGTTACACAGAGAGGAGAGGCAGAGAGAGACAGAGGTCTTCCATCTGCTGGTTCGCTCCTCAACTGGCCACAACGGCCGGAGCTGCACCGATCCAAAGCCAGGAGCCAAGAACTTCTTCCAGGTCTCCCACGTGGGTGCAGGGGCCCAAGGACTTGGGCCATCTTCCACTGCTTTCTCAGGCCACAGCAGAGAGCTGGATCAGAAGTGGAGCAGCTGGGACTTGAACTGGCGCCCATATGGGATGCCGGCACTGTAGGCGGTGGCTTTACCCACTACACCACAGCACCGGCCCCTATAAAAACAGTTTTTAAAGATGGACAGTTAAGTGGTTCTTATTGTGGTTAGAGTTGTGTGACCATCATCACTGTTTACTTTCAGAACATTTTTTTAAAAAAAAGTTTATTTAATAAATATAAATTTCAAAAGTACAACTTTTGGATTATGGTGGTTTTTCCACCCATAACCACCCTCCCACCCGCAAACCATCCCATCTCCTACTCCCTCTCCCATCCCATTCTTCATTAAGATTCATTTTTAATTATCTTTCTATACCGAAGATCAACTTAGTATATACTAAGTAAAGATTTCAACAGTTTGCACCCACACAGACACACAAAGTATAAAGTACTGTTTGAATACTAATTTTACCATTAATTCTCATAGTACAACACATTAAGGACAGAGATCCTATGTGGGGAGTAAGTGCACAGTGGCTCCTGTTGTTGATTTAACAATTGACACTCTTATTTATGACGTCAGTAGTCACCCAAGTCTTGTCATGAGCTGCCAAGGCTATGGGAAACCTCTTGAGTTCACAAATTGCGACAAACATTTTTGTTGCCCCCAAAAGAAACCCTGTTCTCAGAGCAGTTCTGTATTCTCCCAACGCCCTGAACCCTAAGTGTCCCCATTCTGCTTTCTGTCTATAAATTTGCCTTTCTGGAACAGTTCATAAAAATGGGATCTGTGTTATGTGGTCTTCGTGTCTTAATTATTTCATGTAGTGTATGTTTTTGATCTTCATCTGCGATGTAACATGTGTTAGTAATTCAGTCTTAAACCTTTTTTTCAATTTATCTGAAAGGCAGATAGGTAGTAGGTATAGATTTTCCACCCGCTAGTTTACTTCCCAAATACTGTCAAAAGCTGGGGCTGGACCAGGCCAAAGCCAGGCCAGTCTGGGTCTCCCATGTGGGTGGCAGGTACCAAACTGCTTTAGCCATTACCTGCTGACTCCAGGGTGCACATGAGCAGGAAACTGGAATTGAAGTGGAGCTGGGGCTTGGACCCAGGCAGTCTGGTACAGGATGTGGGCATCGCGAGTAGTATCCCTACAATATTATGCCAAGTACTTGTCTTCTTCATTGTATTTACTGTTTTTTTTTGAAAGGCAGAGTGGACAGTGAGAGGGAGAGACAGAGAGAAAGGTCTTCCTTTTTCTGTTAGTTCAACCCCCAAGTGGCCGCTATGGCTGCAACGGCTGGCGCGTTGCGATCCGAAGCCAGAAGCCAGGTGCTTCCTCCTGGTCTCCCATGCGGGTGCAGGGCCCAAGGACCTGGGCCATCCTCCACTGCACTCCCGGGCCACAGCAGAGAGCTGGACTGGAAGAGGAGCAGCTGGGACAGAATCCGGCGCCCCAACTGGGACTAGAACCCGGGGTGCCGGCACCGCAGGCGGAGGATTAGCCTAGTGAGCCGCAGTGCCGGCCTTCATTGTTTGTTTGCTTTTTTTTTTTTTTTTTGACAGGCAGAGTGGACAGAGAGAGAGACAGAGAGAAAGGTCTTCCTTTGCCGTTGGTTCACCCTCCAATGGCCGCCGCGGCCGGTGCGCTGTGGCCGGCACACCGCGCTGATCCGATGGCAGGAGCCAGGTGCTTTTCCTGGTCTCCCATGGGGTGCAGGGCCCAAGCACTTGGGCCATCCTCCACTGTATTCCCAGGCCACAGCAGAGAGCTGGCCTGGAAGAGGGGCAACCGGGACTAGAACCCGGTGTGCCGGTGCCGCAAGGCGGAGGATTAGCCTAGTGAGCCGCGGCGCCGGCCGTTTTTTTTTTTTTTTTCTTCATTGTTTTTACTGTTGAACATGTTGTGTAGACAGAACATGCACTGTTTATTGTTACACACACACACACACACACATATATAATTTACTTATTTATTTGAAAGTCAGAATTACACAGAGAATGAGAGGCAGAGAGAGAGGTCTTCTGTCTGCTGGTTCACTTCCCAGTTGGCTGCAATGGCCAGAGCTGCACTGATCTGAAGCCAGGAGCCAGGGACTACTTCTGGGTCTCCCACGCGGGTGCAGGGGCCCAAGGATTTGGACCATCTTCTACTGCTTTCCCAGGCCATAGCAGAGAGCTGAATGGGAAGTGGAACAGCCGGGACTTGAACTGGCACCCATATGGGATGCCAGCACTGCAGGCGGAGGCTTTACCTGCTACACCACGGTGCCAGCCCAAATTTGTTACATAAATTTTTATTTTATTTTTTAAAAGATTTATTTATTTGTTTATTTGCAAGTCAGAGTTACACAGAGAGAGAAGAGAGGGCAGAGGCAGAGAGAGAGGTTTTCCATCCCATGGTTCACTCCCCAATTGGCTGCAATGGGCGGAGCTGTGCCGATCCAAAGCCGGAGCCGGGAGCTTCTTCCGGATCTCCCATGCGGGTGCAGGGGCCCAAGGACTTGGGCCATCTTCTGCTGCTTTCCCAGGCCATAGCAGAGAGCTGGATCGGAAGTGGAGCAGCTGGGTCTCAAACTGCCACCCATCTGGTATGCTGGAGCTTCAGGCCAGGGCATTAACCTGGTGCGCCACAGCGCTGGCTCCTGTGACATATATTTTTAAAAGACTTATTAATTTATTTGAAAGGCAGGGTTACAGAGAGAGACACACAGATGTTCCTTCTGATCAGCGTGCATTGTGCAGATAGACCACATGCTGCTCATTCCTTCTGCAGTTGTTGGGCATCTGGGTCGTCGTCCACCTTTTGACCGTCACAGATAATCCTGCTGCAAACACTGTCTAGAGGTTTTTGTGTGGACCTGTTGTTTTCATGTCTCCTGTGTATAAACCCAGGAGTGGAACTACTGGGTATGGAAGATGAAATACATCTCAGTGAAGCTGAGAAAAAATCAAGGATACGTGAGTTCATGTTGTTGAGACAGCCGCAGCACTCGTTGCATTCTGGTCCTTTGCTCGTTGTATAGGTGCGTTTTCTCTCATTGTTGCGTGGATTCTTCATGGTTTCCTGGCTTCGTGGTGTGAGCGTGGTCTGCAGACGTTTCCCTCATTCTTGGCCATCTTTCCACTTGTCTGGAAGGCAGATTCTCCCTCTTCGGGGACTGCAGTCACCCTGTAGTCGAATGCCTTTGTGGGAGTGTTTTCTAGATCTGACTGCTCTGTTAGGTCCCGGGAGCCTGTTCGTTGCCTTAGCAGTTCCAGGGCCTGAGGTCTCAGGAGATGCAGAAGTGCTGCAGCTTTCTTCTGCGAGCGTTCCCCTGGCTGCTGCAAGTGTTTGGTTAGGATCCAGAGTTTGGAAAACACTCATTCTCTCAGTGTGTTCCAGCCCCGAGGCTGTTGTGGTGGAGGAGCCGATTCATGCATCTCCTTGCTTTGCCATAGTTTTTGACGTCATTTGTCGCCTTGTGTGAGGATATGTCCAGCAAAAGTAGGATTCCACCAGAAA